GGATCCAGGGAGAGCTCAGAGCCCCTGCCAGGGACTAAAGGGGCTCCAGGAGAGCTGGAGAGGGACTGGGGACAAGGGATGGAGGGCCAGGACACAGGGAATGGCTTCCACTGCCAGAGGGCAGGGATGGGTGGGATATTGGGCAGGAATTGTTCCTGGGAGGGTGGGCAGGCCCTGGCACAGGGTGCCCAGAGCAGCTGTGGCTGCCCCTGGATCCCTGGCAGTGCCCAAGGCCAGGTTGGACACTGGGGCTGGAGCAGCCTGGGACAGTGGAAGGTGTCCCTGCCATGGCAGGGGTGGAATGAGATGCACTTTAACATCCCCCCAACCTTAATCATTCCAGGATTCTGTGATCTGCAGAGCTCCTGGGAGCTCAGCAGAGCTGAGTTTTGGAGAGGCAGGAGTGACCTCCAGTCCTTTAGAGGGACTCTGTCTCTGGGCTGAGCTGTCAGGATTTGGAAAGCTGTGGAATCTGGGCGATGTTGGGATCTGAGATTTCCTCAGGCTGTGTTTTGGATCTTTACTCCCTGGTGAGGTTTCTGCATAAAGCAGCTTCTTACTGGCTGTGGGGAAGAGATTTGGCTGCAGGGGCTTTTTTTTCCCGATCCACATTCCTGTGACAAGTCCTTTCCAAGTGTGGAAATTGCTTTGATATCTTTATCCAGCGCTGGCTCGCACAGGAGCTGTTGCATAACCCGGGCATGGGGACGGGCTGAGCTTGGGGGCTGGGAAGGGGCAGCTCCGAGCTCGGGCTGCATTCACCACCCTCCTTTGGACTGGTTTGTGCCACCATCAGAACGGCTCCTGCCAGCTCAGAAGCTCTGAGAATGTGTCATGAAGGGAATTTGCAAGTGGAGCCTTTCCTTGAAGAGAGGAAGAAAATCCTGATCAAAGGAGCTGCCTTTGAAGTAGTTCCTGCTCCTCATCCAGTGCTGGCGAAGGGGTGTGAAGTTGTGTGAAATAAAGGGCAGGTTCTGTTTAGAGTTTGCACCATCATTTCCTCCCCCAAGAGTGCTTTTTCCATCCAGCTGTGCTGTGTTTCTTTTGAGAATGTTGAGATTCATTAGCTTCAAAAATAGAGATTTCTGTAGAGGAGTCTGTGGATGAAATGGCCATAAAATAATTTTATCTGTACCTAAGAAATGCATGTAAGTGTTCGGGATACCTGAGCCTAAGCCAGCATCTGAAACAAAAATCTGGATGTATTTCTATTTACTTCCAAACAGGGGGATGTTGTTACTCTGTCTGAACAAAACAATGAGTTCAAGTGACAGGATGCAGGGTGAGGACCTTGGAGCTGGTTCCCTGCCCTGGCCAGAGAAGGGAGATGCTTCTCTGGCCCCTCTTGGGGCTGTTCCCCTGCCCCAGCCAAGCCCGTGTCCCTCTAGCATCCTGCTCTCTGCAGGTGATGTGTTCCCTCTTCCTTCTTCCTCCTGGGGTTAGACCTGAGCTGTTTCATGAAGAGTAATTACATTTTATCTAGGAAAAGATAAATGTTGAGGAGGAGGGAATTAAAAAGAAATGATAAAAAAGAAGCAGCCCCAATCCCTCATGGTTACTGGAGTGGGAAGGGAGCACTTTGTCAAAGTGAGTCCTCTGTTGAGGTGTCCTGGGCTCGGGCTGGGGCTGGGCCTGCAGCAAAGCCTGCACAGGCAGCAGGCATCCATTGGTACATGTGACAGGCCTAGGAGGATGTGAGGATGGCTTCAGGGACAATGTCCCTGCCTTGGGAACAGGCTCCAGAGTCAGCTGCACTCTGGGCTGAGCAGTGTCCCATGGGAGCTGTCCCATTGCTCTCCTGGCTGCACCAGGGAGCTTCCCCATGCCTGGTGTGTTCCAGCAGGAGCTGCTGGAGGGGGACAGGGGTGCAGCAGCCTGGGGACTCCTCTAGGGGTTCAGCTGAGCCTTTGCAGGGGAGGAGCCATGTCCCTGGCAGGGTGATCCCAATCCTAGCTCTGAGCTCTGGCCACGGGGCACTGCTGGTGTGGGACTGGGGCATGAGACACCCTGAGACAGAAGGTTTGGTCTTTTTCATGCAATCACATAATGTCGTGAGCTGGAAGCACCCACAGGGATCATCCAGCCCCTGGCCCTGCACAGACCCCCCAACAATCCCACCCTGGGCATCTCTGGCAGCTCCTGGAGCTCTGGCAGCCTCGGGGCCGTGTCCATTCCCTGGGGAGCTGAGAGCAGGATCTCAGAGCCACCCAGTGGAAGGATTCCTTATCCCCTAAGCCTGGTCAGTCTGTGTTTCCCTGGTGTCCTGTCCTGACCCTGAAGGGCTGCAGTGCTTCTGGGGCAGCCTGGAAGGATTTTAGGAGGATTTACACAAAGGGAAATGGCTGGGGTTCCCCTGGCTCCTTCTGCCCTCCTTTGCCCTCAGAAGTTTCAGGAGCAGGAGGCTGAGCTGGACCCACCCCACTGATTTGCATTTTTGGGACCCCTGGGTCTGCCCCTTCCTGCCAGGCTGGTCTGTGCACAGACATGAGCCCACACCCTTCACTGCCACCCATCTGAAGGGTTGTTCTGACACGATCTCCTCTTCCTCTGTGTTCTCCTCATGGCTGGAGTGCAGTACCAGCTGCTTTTCCTGGAAACACGGAGTGTGGAGCATCCCGGGCTGCTTTTATATCCTGATGCTTTAGATCGCTAAATTCTCACTGCTTAAGCTCTTTATTTCTTGTTTTGCTGTGTTTATGAGAGGATCTCCTGGGGCCCTATTGTACAACAAATACAAATAATCCATGAATAAAGCAGGCTGGCTTTTTGTACTGCTGGCAGTCTGCAAGGATTGCTCCCAGATAACGTTTTGGGATATTACTCATTTTGATCTGTGCATTCTACCAGTGTTTCTCTGCTCAACAACACTGCAGAGATGTTGCCCTCTGGAAAGAGGCTTCTCCAGATTAATTTCTGATTTTTCTACCTATTTGCTGTCTCCCTTTGGCAGAGTTTCCGTTTCCTTCCCTGCTTTCCCTGCCCAGCCATGTTTGGGCTAGTTCAGGTGTTGGAGTGATGCACACACAGAGGCTGCAGTTATTCCTTGTCACTGTTGCCCCAGGGGGAGAAGCCCTTTAAATTCACTCATAGCACATTTAGTTTTATGAAGTCTTTGACCTTAAACTTCTAAATGAGCTGGGATGTGAGCTGGAGAGTAGTAAAATAAGATTTAAATGGGAGAAAGCCCCACTTCCCTGCCTGGGAGGATGTGCTGCCCTTGTTGGAGCTGCTGTGAGACAGGACCAGTCATGTTAAATAGAAACTGGAATTTACTGGTGCCTTGAAGCTGCTGCACTTGTTCCCCACTGGGAGCTGCCCTTTGGGGAGCCAGTTCTCATTAATTGGTATCTGATCATTCCACAGGACTGACAGGGTGTGTGCACTGCAGATTTTCCTCCTTAGATCTTTTCCCTCTGCTTTCTTCTTCCCCTGTTATGTGCAAACACCATGTTTATTTTCCAGTATTAGCTCCTCTACTGTTCTGCTCTCTTCAGTAATTAACAGTTGATTTCCTACTTGTCTCTTGACCTTTCTTTTGCCAATCCATTCAAATCACAAGAATTTCTTGTACTTTAAATAGCTGCTTAAATGCCATGGGTAGAGGTCAACTGGTTTAGTTGTTGACATATTTGGAAGAAGATGCTCCTGGTGTTAATTTGTTTCTCCTCTAGTTATTTCGTCTTCTTCCTTTCTGGAAGGTTTCCATAGCAAATAGATGTAGAAATGACTTTTCCTCCTGTGGAACACACAGGAATGAGTGGTAGGTGAGTGTACCTTGATTTTTATAATGAGGGCAGATTTCACTGATGTGGCAGTCAGAGGCTCTGAAGGACTAAAATGTTGCTTCTCTGGGCACCCTCTGCCAGGGCCTCCCTACCCTCACAGGGAGGAATTCCCTTCTCCTGCTCCTGTCCCTCCATCCCTTGTCCCCAGTCTCTCTCCATCTTTCTTGCAGCTCCTTCAGGTCCTGCAAGGTCACACTGAGCTCAGCCCAAAGCTTCTGCTCTCCAGCTGAACAATCCCAGCTCTCCCAGCCTTTCCTCCCAGCAGAGCTGCTCCATCCTCTGCTCATCCTGGAGCCTCCTCTGCATCTCTCCAGCAGCTCCAGGTCCTGCCTGTGCTGGGCCAGGGCTGGGGCAGCTCTGCAGGTGGGGTCTCACCTGAGCACAGGGACAGAATCCCAATCCCTCCCCTGTGCCCACCCTGGGATCAGCATTTCCATTTCCACAGTGTGCAGGGACAGCAAAGGAGTTAATCCAAACTGCAGATTTGCTGGAAAATTGCTCTATAAATAAAAATAAATTCCAAAAATAAACAAAATAAAACATCAGTAGAAGATGAAGGGGAGGGGAAGGATGGAAACAAGCGGATGTGAGGAGTGAGGAGTGGATTTGTTCCATGGCCAAGTGCTTGTGTTGAGAGGCCTTTTGTAACTGGTGACTCCTTTGGAGAGCAGCCTTTAGAGGGCAAATAAGAATGACTCCAAGCAGAGAAGTTCTGGGAGTGCTGTGTGCCGCCTTCCCAGGATCTGGGAATCTTCTCCACAACTCCCTGACAGGAGGGGACAGCCGGGGGGGTCGGGGTCTGCTCCAGGGAGCAGGGACAGGAGGAGAGGGAACGGCCTCAGGCTGGGCCAGGGGAGGTCAGGGTGGATATTGGGGAAAATTTTTCATGGAAAGGTTGTCAAATACCGAAACAGGCTGTGCAGGGAGGTGGTGGAGGGGTTTAACAGCTCTGTGCATGTGGCAGTTGGGAACATGGCTCAGTGGTGGCCGTGGCAGTGCTGGGTCAAGGTTGGACTCGATGTCTTGAGGGCTTTTCCAACATAAATCATTGCATGGCTCTGTGAGAGTCCCCAGTGCCAGAGGATCCAGCTGGAAGCACTAAAACACCTGTACCTGATGGGGAGGCTTTGTGCCTGGGGAAGCAAATCCAAGAGACATTTCCTGCTTGTTTTGCCATTAAGTTCAACTCCTGTACAAACAAAGTGCCTGGGATATGAGGTCTGGCAGAGGGAGGATTTGTGTGGCATGAGGTGGCTCAGCCCAGGTGCTGTGGAGCAGATTTCCTGAAGGAACAGGTTTGGGTTTGGTTTGGTTCAGTCTCTGAGTTTTTGGAATAAAAGAATGATTTCATTTCTTTCTCCTGTTTGAATATGTATGCAAGGCTGGAATTTCTTCCCTGGGTCAGAATGGGATGTCAGTGGGATTTTCCTTTGTTCCTGGGTCAGAATGGGATGTCAATGGGATTTTTCCTTTATTTCAGCAACAACGCACTGTTTATAGGCTGACCCTGGTGAAAGCTTGGAATGTGGATGAAGTCAAAGCTTATGCTGACCTGATCTCCATCGGGAAACCAGACTTCATTGAGGTCAAGGTGAGCTGCATGGAGCTGTTTTAGTTTTTTCCAGCATTTTCCATTGTTTTGTCCCCATTTCCCCCCTGCCTTTAGTCTAAGCTTTTTAAGTAAGTAAAATTCTTCTAAAGTGATGCATAAGAAACTCCTTTCTTGCTTTTAGTATTAATGAATAATAATTAATTAACATTAATTAGTGTCTTATGTGTGCCTTTGGAGCAGGTTTCCCTGTGCCACAAACCCAACTTTGTACCAGCCAGCCTCAATTTCTGCCCAAGAGAATCATCATTCTCTGTCCTTCTTTTGTGAAAACAAAGATAAATAGATATTCCTTCTTTATATCAACTAACAGTTGAAACAAAATATTCCAGGTTAAGCTGGTAGTTTGGGGTAGGATTCTTGCCATCCTGCTCTCGAATTTTGCCAGAGGAGAGGTGAAAGGTTCAGTGATGTGGTTGTGTTTGGCTGGATTTGAGAGCTGCCAGCAGGAGATGTGAGATACAGCAGGGTAGGAGGGGCTTTATCGTGGGCTTAATCAATTTAGTAAATAGAGACTGTAAAAAAAGTTACAAACTTGTAAAAAAAGACACCTTCCCAAGTGCTGTGAGCATTTTCACCCAGCAGCTCCTGCAGAGCAGCTCAGCTCTGTGTTTGTGCAACTCTGCTACTCCTGGACTCTCCTTTTTCTTTTCTCTTTTCCTTCTCTCTTATAATTTTTTATTCTCTCTTATAATTTTTTTTAACTTTCTTTTTTTTTTTTCAACCTTTTTTTTACTGCTGCTATGAAGAAAAAGCCTGGATTTTGCTGTGAAGGTTTGATACCTTCTCTCAGCATGGAGAGTTTTTCTCTCTAGGTGTGCTGCTCAAGTTGGGAGCTTCATCTCAGCTCGGGTTTGGAGTTTGGTTTGGGTTTTCCACCCTCCTGGGTGTGTCCCTGGCTGTGCAGGATCCTGCCAGGGATGGAGCAGAGGCTGTGGGGCTGCTGCTGCTGAGGCTGCTCCGCCCGGGCCGTTGATGTTCATTAGTGAGATGAGGCTGTGCCGGTTGATGTTTGAGCAGGGATTCCCCCGGGAACTCTCCAGGGCAAACGTGTCTGAGGCACGGGCTGCTCTGCCCTCTGCCTCACAGTGCCACAGCCCTGCTTTCCCAGAGCTCTGCCCTGGAAAAATCCTGCCTTGCTCTGCCAAGGAAATAGCAAAGTGGACACAGGTGTACTGCTGGGGCTCTTCCAGCTGGGACAGGGATTTATCTGGGTCTCTGAACCTTTGTATGAGCTGGGACAGGGATGTTCATGGATTTCTGATCCCTGTTCTGTGAGCTCTGAACACAGCTCCTCTGTGAAACTGGGACAGGGAGGGGCTGGGTGACATGCCCAGAATCCAGTAGTGGGATGGTGGCACTGGAGATCCAGCCTCACACTGTGGTGGTCACATAGCATTTGAGACTTGGCAATTTCCCCCAAAAGATTTGATTAGAAGTAATTTTCTGTGTTCCTTTGAGAATGAAGCATATTTGGGGTGAGGATAGGCCTCAGCATTCTTTTCTTCAGCCTCTCAGTGTGCCAGGGTAAAAAGCCAGGGACCAGGTGGTGCTCAAAGCCAACCCTCAAAGAGTGATGAGGAGATTCTGCAAAGCTCTGCCCGAAAATGGGGCTGAGCCTGGGGATTTTCTGGTTGAAGACTTGGGATAAATGATGTCCCTTTCAGATGAAGGGAGCTAATCCAGTGTTGCTCCAGAGAGGCTCACAGGGTGGATGGAGAGAGATTTAGATTCTTGCAGGGCTTAATCCTTGTTCTCATTTCCATGAGTGCCTCACAGTGCTGTAACTCTGTGGGACCCCATTCTCCCACTTAAGCCAATAGTAAAGGGAGACTCCGTCATTAAAAATGCATCAAATTGATTTATTGCCTTAATCTGTTCTAATGCCAGCATATCACTGTCACACTTGTACAGAGCTGATGGTTGTATTTAAGGTCTGGAACACGCCAGAACTCGTTTTCTTGCCACAGTGCCCTCTTTGGGTTCTGAAAGCCAGAGGTTTGTTTCATGTGCAGCATTTTTGTGTCCAGGGAAGGGAACAGAGCTGGGAAGGGTCTGGAGCCCCAGGAGAGGCTGAGGGAGCTGGAAAGGGGCTCAGCCTGGAGAAAAGGAGGCTCAGGGGGGTCCTTGTGGCTCTGCACAACTCCCTGACAGGAGGGGACAGCCGGGGGGGTCGGGCTGTGCTCCAGGGAACAGGGACAGGAGGAGAGGGACATCTCCCTTTTAGTGAAGGAATTTTCCTCAATATCCACCCTGAGCTCCCCTGGCCCAGCCTGAGGCCGTTCCCTCTCCTCCTGTCCCTGTTCCCTGGAGCACAGCCCGACCCCCCCGGCTGTCCCCTCCTGTCAGGGAGTTGTGCAGAGCCACAAGGGCCCCCCTGAGCCTCCTTTTCTCCAGGCTGATTGGTCACAGGTTGGCCCTGGTGGTCCTGGAGGACTTTTCCACCCAGGATAATTCCATGGTTGTGACTCTGGAGCAGAAGGGGTGATTCAGCAGTGGCTGCTCCTCTCTTGATCCCCACGTGGCTCATTTGGAGAGCTGGGGTGAAAGGCTGGCTCTTGTGTTCGAGTTCAGCTTTCCCAGGAGGAGTGGCTTCCACTTTCAGGGAATCCCTGCATATTTCCAGGCAGTGCAGCACTGCTGGGCCCTCAGCCACAGGTGTGGGGTGTCTGGAGAGCTGCTGGGAAGTGCTGGGGCTGTGCTGCACAACCAACCATCTCCAGCCCTCCTTGCAGACTGAAGTGACACCAAGGACTGATGGCCTTTGTTAAATCAGCTTGAAAGTGATGATTAAAAGCAGCCAAGGAGTTGAATCCTGGCTGAATCCACTGCAGCAGGAGCAGACGTGCGTGAGGCCTTGTGGCTGTAATTTGAGGAGTGCTGCTGCTCAGCTCAGGAGCCTTTTCATTGCAGAGATGCAATCAACGTGGCATTGAGGCTTTTTATACTTGTCTGGGGTCATGGCTGCCCCAGATTTTAAACAGTGTCTCTGTCACTCAGCAGCTTGGCCCACACTTTGTTCTCTCTTAATTCGCACCAGCCTCAATTAAATTTATAATTTATGGGCTTAGAGTGAAGAGAATTGTTTTGTTCAGTAATTAAATTGGGAAGTCTGGAGTGTGAATGGAGGAACAAAGCACTGTCAGCTGTAGTAGTTTCCTTCAGAACTCTGGGGATTGAAAGGATTGCTGGCTGTCTGCATCCTGGGGCAGGAGCCAGGTCCTGGGGGCAGGAATGTGCTGCCCTTGCTTCCCACAGCATCAGCAACCATCCTGGCACAGGGCTCTGGGCAGTCCAGTTATGCTCACACAGCTCCATTACAGCTGAAAATGAGCCCTGGCCCAGCAAAGGCAGGACCTGGAGCTGCTGGAGAGATGCAGAGAAGGCTCCAGGATGAGCAGAGGATGGAGCAGCTCTGCTGGGAGGAAAGGCTGGGAGAGCTGGGATTGTTCAGCTGGAGAGGAGAAGCTTTGGGCTGAGCTCAGTGTGACCTTGCAGGACCTGAAGGAGGTGCAGGAAAGATGGAGAGAGACTGGGGACAAGGGATGGAGGGACAGGACACAGGGAATGGCTCCCACTGCCAGAGGGCAGGGATGGGTGGGATATTGGGCAGGAATTGTTCCTGTGAGGGTGGGCAGGCCCTGGCACAGGGTGCCCAGAGCAGCTGTGGCTGCCCCTGGATCCCTGGCAGTGCCCAAGGCCAGGCTGGACATTGGGGCTGGAGCAGCCTGGGACAGTGGAAGGTGTCCCTGCCATGGCAGGGGTGGGACTGGATGGGCTTTGAGGTCCCTCCCAACCCATTCCATGATTCTGTGAAATCCAGAGCATGCCCAGTACAGTTGCTCTGGATTCATCCTGGCAGCACCACGAAGAGCTGGAATGCTTTTCAAAGGCTTCTGCATTTCAAGGTACTTGGCCAGAGCTCTGTGGATTAGGCTGCTCAAAGCAGCCTTATTAAGCAGGTAATTAAGAGGCAGCATCGTTGCTGTTCCTGCTGCAGGGAGGTTGGGGAGAGAGCTCTGGGTGAACAATGGATCCTTTCCTTTTTAATTCTCGATGTCTTAATAACTGTCTTCATGTATTACTGCAAAGCAGAACGTGACCGCCCTCATCAACTCCACATGGGTTTTAAGTGCTATCAGCTGTTAATTAACTCCAGTTTGAAGAAGTTGGGGAAGTTGAAAGCTGCTTTCCTTCGGTGTGCTGGAAGCTGATTCCCATTGATTTGTGCTGGGAATTAATCAGCCAGCCAAGCACTCACTTATTCCATTTGCCTCTGTGCTTCCTTTGCTTGTAAACGATATCTTTGTAGTTTACTGAGAGCATGAATCATGTTGGAGCTTCTGAAGAATTTCCCCCCTCTGTACTCATACATTTTTCATGCTGCTCAAATCATAATCTGGATAATGAGTGTGGGGAGAATATTGCTGTGTGTCTCCAGCTGAACTTTGGGGATCCAAACCCCTGATTTGCGTGGCTGCCTGCTCTGATATAACACTGACTAATAGACAATGAAGATGTTTAAACTCTGGGTTCAGCCTTATAGAGCTGGGCTAAAAAAGCCTGAATGTACATTCCTGGTGAGCATTCCCTAGCTTGTGCCCTGTCAGTCTTCCTCCATGCTGCCTCTGAGTTATGGTGCCTGGGCAGATTAATGGGGGGGACTACCTCATAAATTTATGGTTGAGAACTAATTGCTTCCAAAACTTGTACAGTTCCCAATTAGCAGCAGGGCTGTTGTCCTGCTGCCCTGTGTGTGCTCTGGTTGAAAGTGTTGGCAGAGGTGTGTCTGCACATTCCATGTCCAGGGAAATGCAGGTAAATCAGGGATTGGGAGCAGGTGCTATGGCCATGCCACACATGAACCTGGATGCAAATTCCACTTAAAGGTACTCCAAGTGTCCTTCCCAGGGGGAAAACCACGAGTGGGCCGGACACAACCATCCATGAAACTGTGTTGTAAAGGTTGGTGTTTGATGGGATTTTGTGACTGGAATAAAAGAGCTCAGCCCAAGAGCAGAGAGGCTGGAACCAGGCAGAGAGGGGCAGAGGGGCTGGGTGGTGTCTGGAAAAGCCCTTTGTTGTGTTTCCCCTTTGGGTACCAGGACTGTGACCAGCCCTGGGATCTGGTGTGTGATCTCCTCTCAGCAATGGCAGATTAATTGCTGGGAAATTAGCAGTGAATTATTTGATTGAGAGGAATTGATGTGGATCATGATCCTGTCTGTGAAATATTTTCAAGCAGACATTAAAGGACACCCTAAAGTCGAGCTCCAAGTGGGTGACACTGAGTGCTCACCACCTGCAGACCTGCCTGTGGTTTGGGGCAAATTACAGGATAAAGAACATTGGTGTCTTACAGCATTGTGTTCTGTGAAAGGGTTTTGTGTCATGCACTGGTTAAACCAGAATTCAGTGAATTTTATTGGGAAGGAAGGAAGGAAAGAAGAAAAAAAAGTGAGAGGAAACAAAAAGAAAAATAAGTGAAAGGAAAGAAGAAAAAAGAAAAAGAAGGGAAGAAAAAATGAAAGAAGAGAAAAAATGAAATGCTAATTTGAGCTCATGGCTGAGACTAAATCAGTAATTTAGGAGGTTCAGGTGATCACATCTCCAAATTAGGAGCAGCTGGTCCCAGAATGGTGAGGCTGGATAAGGAAGGCCTGGACATGGCACTCAGTGCTCTGGGCTGGGTGACATGGTGGGGACTGGTCACAGGCTGGACTCGATGATCCTGGAGGGCTTTTCCAGCCTCAGGGATTCTGGGATTTGGAGGCTGAAGGTGGTGGATGTCGTATGGGAGAACTGGAGGTGTTCCACTCCCTGAGCAGTCCCCCAGAGCAGCAGTACTCGTTTCCTGGCTCTGTGTGGGGACAGAGGGACACGGGTCCATCCCTTCTGGGCTGTGTGGGGGGTTGGGAGAGGAGCTGCAGCAGGAACCCTGGGTCTCTGCACACCAGGGAGGTCCTTGAACCATGAGGGTGCCTCCAGAACACGACCCAAAAGCTGCTTCCCAAAGCTGTGGTGCTCCCAGCAGGGAGGGACTGAGCTCTGTGTCAGTCCCTGCTGTGCCCAGGGCTGCTCCCAGTGCCTGTCACCTCCGTGTGCACGGGGTGGGTACAGCCCACCCAGGGACCTGCTGGATTTGGTACAGATACTGCAGCACAGGGCAGAAATCACAGCCTGGGCTTGGAAGGAAGAGACCCAGAGCTCATTCCCTCTGTGGCACGTGGACAGCATCTCTGGGAGTGTCCCACTGACATGGCATTGGTGGTCCATGAGACTCTTCCAGACTTGTCATGTTTCCCACCCACTGACCTTCTCCAAGATCCTTTGGTCACTCGGGACATCCTCCCTGTGAAAGAAGAGTTCCAGGCTCATGGCCAGCCTGTGTGTCACTGCTGGGGACTCCTGGCATGGTGCTTTGGTGTGGAAGATAGGTTGAAAGGATAGTACAGAAGGCAATTACTGAGGAGTGGAAATATCTGTGCCCACCCAAAGAGTTTGGCTGTTATAAAAGAATGGGCGAGCTGGCCACCAGTTACAGTTGTAATTCGAGTTAGAGCTGGAGATGAGAGTGTGCTGCAGTTTGGGATGGAGTGTGCTGTGAAGTGGAAGGGACATGTGGTGGTGCAAGGGACAGATGAGGTAATAAGATGCTGTGTGAGGGACAGACAGGGTTAGGTGGCTGGGTAAGGGACAGGTTGGGGTTAGCCAGTCATGCAGAGAGGAGAGAAAGAGTCAGAGCTGTGTGGAGCTGCCTGTGAGGGAAGGAGTCAGAGTTGTTGGAAAGAAGGCACGAAAACTTTTCTGATAAAGGGCTGGTGGTGATGCCAGTCCAGTCCATTTTGACATAATTACTGCAACACTTTGGGGATGTGTCACTGCGGGAGGGACCCATTTTTGTGCCATCTCCAAATCTTTGGCCTTGCCATGGGATCTGGAGTGCGGGGGGCAGAGCTGGCGGCTGCAGGGGTTGCTGTGGCTGGCGCTGCCAGGGCTGGGGAGGGCTGAGCTGACTGTCCTGTTTCCCTGTGTCCCCAGGGTGTGACATACTGCGGGGAGAGCTCTGCCAGCAGCCTGACCATGGCCAATGTGCCGTGGCACGGGGAGGTGGTGAGCTTCGTGCAGGAGCTGGCACGGCTGCTCCCAGAATACGGCATCGCCTGCGAGCACGAGCACTCCAACTGCCTGCTGATGGCCCACAGCAAGGTGAGCCTGCTGGGTACACTCTGGGGAGGGACATGGCCCCAGGTGCCACGTGCACACCTGTGTTAAACCCCTCCAGGGGTGGGAACTCCATCCCTGCCCATTCCAAAGCTTCCCAGGCCCCTCCAGTCACTGGCCAGGAGAATCCATGGTGTGCCCCAGGATTCCAGCCTTTCATGCCCCTGGATGCCACTTGGACCCAAGGGATGCTCTGTTATTTTCCTGTTGGTCCAGAGGCAGAATCACCACATTTGAATCGGAGAACCACAGAATCATTTGGGTTGGAAAAGCCCAACCACTCCCCCAGCACTGCCAAGGCCACCACTGCCCTGTGTCCCCAGGTGCCACATACACAGGGCTGTTAAACCCCTCCAGGGATGGGGCCTCCACCACAAGGGCCCCCCTGAGCCTCCTTTTCTCCAGGCTGAGCCCCTTCCCAGCTCCCTCAGCCTCTCCTGGGGCTCCAGACCCTTCCCAGCTCCATTCCCTTCCCTGGACACGCTCCAGCCCCTCAATATCTTTCTTGTTATGACAGCTTCTCTGGGCAGCCTCTGCCAGGGTCTCACCACCCTCATGGTAAAAAATATTATCTTATATCCAGTGTAAATCGACCCTGCTGCTGTTTAAATCCATCAGCCCTTGCAACAGGCCCTGCTGGAAAGGTTTGTGACCATCTCCCTTTCAAGTACTGGAAAGGAAATGAAACAAAATATGAGGGAAATGCAAAAAAAAAAAATTTAAAGGATGCAGGAAATGAAAAATTATGAGTACATATTTGTTTTCTGAGCTGTAGAAAAGACTAATAGAAGGACAGCAGAAAAAGATAGTAATGTGCCAGCTGGGCACCCGATAAAATTGGAGATTCCTGGAATGATTTGGGTGGGAAGGACCTTAAAGCCCATCCCATTCCATGGCAGGGACACCTCCCATTGTCCCAGGCTGCTCCAACCTCAATGTCCAGCCTGGCCTTGGGCACTGCCAGGGATCCAGGGGCAGCCACAGCTGCTCTGGGCACCCTGTGCCAGGGCCTGCCCACCCTCACAGGGAGGAATTTCTCCTGAATATCCAATCTAAACCTACTTTGGAATCTGCAAAGGGAGCAGCTGGGAAGGAGCAGAGAAAACCAGGACACCTGGCACTGGTTGTGTTTGATCTCACCTTAAATTGGCTTTATTTACAGTCTTACTCCTGGCTGTTGCCACTGGCAACTGTTCCTGAGAAAGCCAAACCTCCTTTTGCATTGTAAGGTCCAGGAAAGCAAACAAACAGATTGCAGAAACCTTCTTGAGGCAGAATTTAAGTAACACTATTAGCAATGAGAATAAATTGGTACCTGCCCAGGAGGAATTCAACATCTGCTTTTCCTTCCACAGCCATTAGCAGAGTGTGTCTGTGGGAAACAATCTGTCCTCGGTGCTAAAATAGCTAATAAAAAATAAATTTATTTCCATTAGGGTTTAATTTTTGAGTTTCAGGCTCTAGTGGAGAATAAAATCTGCCAGTGCCTATTATTTGCAGGGAAACCTGTGCTCTGGGATTGATCAAACTGGAGTGACTAATTGCAAAATCAAAGGGGTCTTTAAAAAATTAAGGAATTGCAGGAAGAGTGTAATAAAAATCATTAAGAAATGTGATTTATTTCACTATGTTTTCCTAGGTCTGAGTTTGGAGGTGTTCAAACAATGGTCCTGATAAATTTACTGCTGCCATTGAATGTCAGCCTGTAAGAAAGATTCTGGGAATGTCAGGAACAATTCATCCTGCAGCTGCTGCCTGGGATGGATGGGACTCATTGATTGGCACCTGCTTGTGATGAGTGACAGTTCAGGACTTGAGCTCTGGAGTCTCTTAAGTGATTTAGGGAGAAAAGGGATTTTAAGGGAAGCAGACTGCAGGGTTTGTGTCTGGTGTTATTTTCTCTCTCTGGAGGTCATGGGATGGTGCTGAGATGGGAACTGGGGCACTTGGGGGCCTTCAGGGTCCTAAAAATCTCCCATTCAGCTTCCAGGTCTCTTCCCCCACACACAGATCTCTTTTCCCAGCTGGCCAGCAGTGGCTTCTGTTCCCTGAGAGTGTCTGCAGGTACAGAGGTGGTGCTTGTGGGAGCCCTCAGCACTAAGGGGATGATGGGCCCCACTTCAACCTCAGAGAGAGCTCAGGAAATCCTAAAAACTGAATCCTCACAGCAAGATGTTTGATTTCCACTTACCCTTCCCAGAGCCCTAAAGATCACCCCAGAGCACAGCTCCTGTGCCCTGCTCCCCGTGCCCTGAGGGTCCCCCTCGTACTGGGATTTCCCTGGCTTTGGGGCAATGGGTGTCAGCTCCTCAGAATCCCAGAAGGTTTGAGTGGGGAGGGACCTTAAAGCCCATCCAGTGCCACCCCTGCCATGGGCAGGGACACCTTCCACTGTCCCAGGCTGCTCCCAGCCCTGTCCAGCCTGGCTTTGGGCACTGCCAGGGGTGGGTGGGTCCTGCTGGAGCTGAGGGGCGAATGGGGACAGCCAGGGCTGAGTGCAGCCTTCCCTTGGCTCAGCTGGACTCACAGGGGGGGAGCTCCTCTTCCCTGCCCTTCCTGCATCCTCCTCCCAGCTTTCCCCTGGTTCCCATCTCTCTTTGGGAGTTGCCTGGTGTTTGGGCTCCATCCTCTTTGATTCTCTAGCAACAATTCTAGTGCTGAATTCTTGAGTAATTCTCTTTGCTGTCCAGTAAATCCCATAAACCATGGTCACAAAAATGGGATTTTTGGCATCACTTTGAACTAATCAGCTGAGATATCAACACAGTAGCAAGTTGCTACTTTTCCCAGAGAGAGGCCTGAGGCTGCTGCTGTTCCTGGCTGGGACACTCAGTGCGCCCTCAAGAGGGCCAAACAAACTCCTGGGAAGGGGAAGGTGCTGCAGCTGCCTCGCAGGGAGGATTTCTCTGAAGGAAATTCAGTATCTTGGTCATTTCTGGACTAAATCCCTCTGCCCCACAGTGCTGGGTTTGCAGTCCATGTGTGTTCCACGCTGTCCTTGTCCCAGAGCACTTCCTGGCACTTCCAGCCCATTTTGTTCATTAACCCTTTCCCCCCTGGAGCAGGTGGTTGTTTTCCCAGCTCTCTGGGGCTTTACAACACCAATTTCTGGCCAGTTCAGCCACTGTGCTGCTGCTGCCCTCAGCCAGGCTGAGGCACTGGGATCCCAGAGTTCTGGGATAGAACAGGAGCATCCCTGTGACCCCAGGGCTGATTTCCATTGCATTGAGCAATGCACAGCTTAGGAAATGCTCCTGGAATTCCAGTGCTTGCTCTGTCTGGAGGTCTTAGCTCACAAGGTGACATCAACAGGGTGGGCTCAGCACCCTGCTGCCATCAGCTCTTTCTGCCTTAATTAATCTGATTGGCCTGGGATTGGTTGGAAAAGTTCTCCAAGATCATTAAGTCCAACTGTCCACCCCACAGCACCACTGTGTCCCTAAGTGCCACATCCACACACCTTTGGGACACTTCCAGGTGTGGGCACTCCACCCCTGCCCTGGGCAACTATGCCAGGCCCTGACCACCCTTTCAGTGAGGAAATTTTCCCTGATATCCAACCTGAACCTCCCCAAGCACAATTTGGGATTGTTTCCTCTTGTCTTGTCACTTGTTCCCTGGGAGAAAGGACCAACACCCACCTCCCTCCTGAGTAAGTAAGCCTAAAGCAAAGACTGCACAAGAGGAGTGTCCATCCTTGGATCCAGACATTCCCCCATGGTGCAGCTGTGTGCTCCAGCCCTCGCTTGCCTCACCAGCTGCCTGTGGTCTGGGACAGCATTGTGTTCTCCAGCATGGCAGGGACACCTTGGCATCCACAAAAGGAGAGGCTTTTGGGGACATCCCTTTAATGGGTTCATTTCCCATACCCAAACTCCCCTGTGAGGGTGGGCAGGCCCTGGCACAGGGTGCCCAGAGCAGCTGTGGCTGCCCCTGGATCCCTGGCAGTGCCCAAGGCCAGGTTGGACATTGGGGCTTGGAGCAGCCTGGGACAGTGGAAGGAGTCCCTGCCATGGCAGGGGTGGAATAGGATGAGGTCCTTTCCAATCCAGACCATTCTGGGATTCTGTGTGGCTGCAGCACTGGGGGTGTCACAGCACCTCCAGGGCAGGTGTTGGGGACAGGGAACAGCCTGGCCAGAGGTTCCCATCCCTCTCCTTCAGCCATAAAGTCGTCCCACCCCGGAGGTGTTAGCACGGCAGGGCTCGGGTGTGTCCTCGCTGTGCCCGCAGGAGGCTCCGGAGCTCAGGGAAAGGCACGGAATTGTTCCGTGCTGAGCATCCCATGCTGAGCATCCCAGCTATATTTAGGGAGGAAGAGGAAGCACTTCACTCCCAGCTGCACATCCCCTGATCAGGGACAAAGAGTCCATCACGTTTAGTTCCTTCCTGCCTCAGTCCTTCGGAGAGTGGGAGCTGTCCTTGTGATCCAGCATCCCGGATCCAGGGACAGCATTACAGGGAAATCCAAACTGGGAGGCAGAGGGTCACAAAGGGGCAGAACACCCTGGGACCTGCAGCAGAGCAGGGGATGGGGTGGAGCCCAGGTGTGGACAGGGTGTTCTCAGGTGTGGACAGGGTGTTCCCAGGTGTGGACAGGGTGTCTCAGCAGCCAAGCAGCCTCCTTAGAGCAGGTGTGAGCACGGAATGGTGGAATTCCCGAAGGTTTCCTCCCTTTCCCTTGTCCCTTGGCAGCAGGAAGGTGGCTCTGCTGGGCTGGGTGTGTCAGTGAGTAGAAGCAGCTCTCCATTGTGCTGAATTACCCCGGCTTTCATCCCTCCGAATGGGAGCTGCCGAGATGGAGCCCTGGCTCCCATGGCAGCTGGGCTGGGATCAAAAACCCCAAATCTGCCATAAGGAACCTTCCTGAGGAATAACTGCCCGGGGTCAGGGGGATCATCACAGGCTCCATGGGCTGTGGCACTGCTGGGTTCAGCTCAGGGCAGTTCAGGTTGTCCCACTATTTGGGAATCCTGAGCAGTGAAT